TTTCCACTCAACGAACCTGTGCCCCAGAAATAACATGTGCCCTAGTTTAAAACCTGTGCCCTAGTTTATAACCTGTGCCCTAGTTAATAACCTATGCCCTAGTTTATAACATGTGTCCCAGTTCATAACCTATGCCCTAGTTTATAAACAATGCCCTAGTCTATAACTTGTGCCCGAGTTTATAACCTGTGCCCTAGTTTATAACCTATGCCTTAGTTTATAACCTGCGCCCTAGTTCATAACCTGTGCCCTAGTTTATATCCTGGGCCAAAGTTTATAACCTGTTCCCTAGTTTATAACCTGTGTCCTAGTTTATAACATGTGCCCTAGCTTATAACATGTGCCCTAGATTATAACCTGTGACCTGGTTTATAACCTGTGCCCCAGTTTATAACCTGTGCCCTAGTTTATAGCCTGTGCCCTAGTTTATAACCTGTGCCCTAGTCTATAACCTGTGCCCTAGTGTATAACATGTGCCCTAGTTTACAACCTGTGCGCTAGTTTATAACCTATGCCCTAGTTTATAACCTGTGCCCTAGTTTATAACCTGCGCCTTAGTTCATAACCTGTGCCCCAATTTATTACCTGTACCCCAATTTATAACCTGTGCCCTAGTCTATAACATGTGTCCTAGTTTATAAACTGTGCCGTGGTCTATAACGTGTGCCATAGTTTATAACCTGCGCCATAGTTCATAACAAGTGCCATATTTTATAACCTGTGCCCCAGTTTATAACCTGTCCCCTTGTTTATAACCTGTGCCCTAGTTAATAACATGTGCCCTAGTTCATAACCTGCCCCCTAATTCAGAGCTTGTGCCCTAGTTCATAACCTGTGGCATAGGTCATAACCTGTGCCCTAGTTTATAACACGTGTCCCAGTTCATAACCTATGCCCTAGTCTATAACCTGTGCCCTAGTTTATAATCTGTGCCCTTGTTTATAAGATGTGCCTTAGTTTATAACCTGTGCCCTAGATTATAACATGTGCCCTAGTTTATAACCTGTACCCCAGTCTACAACCTGTGCCCTAGTTTATAACCTGTGCCCTAGTTCATAACATGTGCCCTAGTTTATAACCTGTGCCCTAGTTCATAACCCGTGCTCTAGTTTATAACCTGTGTCCTAGTTCATAACATGTGGCCTAGTTTATAACCTGTGCCC